TTTATCTCCAGGGTTGTAGCAGGGCTGGGACAAAAGGCTGCCTAGCAGTAGCAGCTGCCTCCTCAGGCCGTTTTCCCTCTGCAGCTAGCTTCCTGCCGCCTAGATTTTTAAAGTGGCCGAGTGAGTTGGAAGCAGCTGGCGTTCCGGGATCAGTTCCTGCCTGTGTGGCTTCCCTTATGGGGACTCCGCAATGGCCGGTTCTCCCTCTGTTATTTTCCTTCTAGTGAGTCCAGGGCGTTCTCATTTGGGTTGAAACTCGTAGCATGAAAGTCTATAGTCCGTTTTTTGTATAATCCCGTGCGAGTTTGGATGTAGTGGCCTTGGCGTCTTTATTCTGCAGCTATCTTGCCGGTTCCCGAGCTGGTGGAGCTGCTCAGCGGCTTTGCGAGGCGCCCAGGTGCTCCCGATTGGGTCTGAAGTTTCAGCGGTTTTTCTCTCACCCAGGTATTGAGGATCAGATTTGCAGTCTTTGTGCAGCATGGGCTCCACTCACTGAGCTGAGCCCTCCCAGGTTTAGCGTGGGGCAAAGCGGCTCCTGCAGCCCGCGGAACTTCCAGGGGCCCGGGTTTTCCCGTGAGTTCCCAGAAGGGAATCGCCGATTCCCTCTCAGTTATCTACCTTCTAGTGAGTCCAGGGTGTTTTCGTTTGGGTTAAAACTTGTAGTAATTGAGTCTATAGTCCGCTTTCAGTCCTCAATTCCTATGCAGGCTTGGATGTGGTGATCTCGGCGTCTTTACTCTGCCGCCATCTTCCGGAAGTCTCGGGTAACACAATATTTAAAAGAAGGGCAGAAGGTATCTTGAAAAAATGGTGAGGCTCTAGAGGGTAGATTAAATCCAAGAAGGATGGAAGATGGTTGATAATGCCACATTATGCATACATGCAAATAGTACTCAAAAAACATCCACTGAATATGACAAATCTTTGATTATTAAAGATAATGTGACCTTAGTGAGAAAAGATTGAGTAGAGGAGGCAAAATTTAGATTCATCAGGATCGAGAAGTGACAGCATGTATACATCAATATGCTTTCAATAAACTGACCTTTGAGGGAATAGCAGGATGAGTGTTTTGTCTGAAAAGAGATGCAGAGTTGTGGGGATATTTTTTGTTAAGTGACAGTTTTTAAGATAGGAAAATGTATATTTTTATGTGCTGAGGGGAAGCCCAAATAGGGAAACAGATTGTATCATCGTGTAGCCTTACCCTTATTAAGTATGCTATAAAAATACTTGCTTAATGACTGTTAAATTCCTCTGTCTTGATTTCACAGGTAAAATTTGTATGTTTTCTGGGCTACATGCTTTTTTGTATTCAATCATGGTTTTTATTAATGCTACATGCTTTTTTTGTATTCAATCATGGTTTTTACTAATTTGAGGGGTGTTGTTTTTTAGCCTCAGAATATTCTGCTGACAAGTGATTCTCCACTGGGTGACATCAAGATAGTTGATTTTGGTCTTTCCAGAATAATGAAGAACAATGAAGAACTCCGAGAAATTATGGGGACTCCTGAATATGTAGGCAAGTATTCATAACTGGGATGTGTTTTGTCTTGGGGTGTCAGGCATCTTCGTTAGGGGTATCATATGAGATAAGATTAACAGTGGAGTCATAGGTTTTGCTATGTCGAACTCTATCATCAGAGAGCCACTTTTGGTATTAAATTTAAAAATTAAAACTTTTGTGCCCTCCCTTGTGGTGCAGCGGGTTAAAACACAGCACTAAGAAGCTGAAGCCACTTCAGCATGAATTTGATCCAGGCCCTGTAGATGATTCACATGGCACAGAGACCTCTCCTGATCTGCCCACTACTCCCACTCAGCAGTGTACTTCGTTGATCTGCCTGTTCTGCTCCCCACTGTGTCTCTGGTGAATCCTCTCACCGCCCTGCGCTTCTAGCCTACACCCCAGTTCTGTATGCATAAATAAATAAATCTTTTAAAAAAATTAATACTTTTATGAGATTTGATGGGAAATGAAGGAGATAGAATTCCAAATTAGGGATCTCTTGCAAAGGGCAAGAAAAATTTTAAGGTTATTTGAAAAGAAATAACTGAGAATTTTAGTGTTTTAGATTATCTAAGGTGGCAGGATAGTTAATGAGGACCTGTAAAGAACTTAAAGTTGGTAAATAAGCATTGTTAAAAAATAGCAAATCCTGCAAATTCATTGATGTGTGAGGCAGAAAAGACATCCATGGTTGAGAACTTCTTGCAGAAAGTAAAAGGAGCTTAAACCCTAAAGATTCTTGCAAGAGAGCAGCTGGAGTGATGAACTGTCACTTTAGCTTGGTAGAAAAAGAAACTTTTTTGACAGAATGAAGTGGGGGATAGGAGGAAAAGTGATTTGAATGAAGTCTAAAAATGTTTATAGTAAGAGAGCAAGGCAGTGACGTAATTAATACTAATTATGACCTGAGATTAGAATATGCACATTTAATGTTTCCAAGAGGAAGTTTTTCTTTATAATTACAAGACCCGGGGAAGCTCTTCAGACAAGGAGGCTAAGAAGTTGGGGTGCAGGGCAGGTGGTAAAGACGGCAGTGTCAGGTTTCAGGGAGGTAGCAAGCCTTGGGGAGAAGGGGAATGCTTCTACGTTGGACATAGTAGGAACTTAAAAATAGGCTGACCTATTAGAGAATAGGTGACCTGAGCCTGGACAGAAGAATATTTGGCTGATTGTATAGGTGTGAAGTAAGTAGACACTCTACACCCTGGAGATCTGGAGGGATAATAGGGATAAAGTAAAAGGCAGGAATCTCTGAAGGAGCTGTGGAGGGTAGGAATATATGTAACAAGAGAAAATGGATTCCAGAGCACACAGAAAGCCAGGTCAGATAGGATTGAAGAGAACAGCTATTAGGTTGTGAATATTACTCCCCCCCACACACACCAAATCGTATTTTCAAACTAATTTTTAAGTCCTGTGATTTGGAATAGATCCTTAATTAGGTAGTAAAAGACACCATAGGCAGAAATACAACCATCACAATTTAGTGTTTTGTTTGTTTTTTTTTTTTTTTGTGGAGAATACTTAATTTTCAGTATGGTGAGTGATATGCATTATGACTACTAAGTAGTTTTAGAAATGTAGCTTCACAGTGCTGCTTCAGAGAAAGCAGTCCAAGTGTTTTACCCAGTTTTAAATAGGCATAATGCCCAACTAGAAGAAATGTAGATGACAACAGAGTAAAGGACTGTGAGCTGAGATACCAAAAGTAATTTTTGCCCAGTTTTTTTTTCTTTTGCCCAGTTTTTTTTAATGCTTTTCATTCTTCAGTAAATTCTGAGTTTTTTACCAAGAACTTTTATTCCCTCCAAAAAACCAGACTTTGTTATGAAAGAGTATAAACCCAATCCAAAAATATTTGTATCTGTTACAGTAAAACTAAGGGATTTTTTTTCTTGCCCTACTCTGCATTTTAATTGAGTTTATGCTCCAATCCTCTACCTTTGTTGTGTCATCTTACATACAAACAGACAACCACTTGTGGGTGCTTTATTCTGAGTACTTTCAAACAATGCGATCTTGGTGCTAAAATTTCTTTATATCTCACATTCCTATCAATAAGCTGGACTATAATAGTACTGCCTCATTGAGAATTTTAAGTACTTTGTTTTTACTTTTTCCCTTTCTTATGTCAGTGTACAACACTTAACTCAAAAAAAGTTATTGTTATATCCTGCCCTTCCTTTTTTCCCCTGAATTAATTCTCAACTTAACATACTAGGGTATGGAATTGTTAATTACACAGGGGCATATGGAATTGTTAATTACATAGGGATTGTTTAAATGGTTTTTTTCTAAAATTCAGATCATTTTCATTTTTCCCTTAATTTTTATTAATCATTTACATAACTATACAGCTTCAACTGCCACATGTGCATGCGTTTCACCCACTTTTCCACCCAGGTCCCAGTGCCTTTGTCTTACCATTGCTCATTTTAAAATTTTAACTACCACAATTTTTTAATCCTCAATTTGATTTTTTTTTTTTGTGGATTCAGTACATATCACCTATATTCTCATAACGCAGTATCAGTGCATAGCTTTTTTTTCTTTTTAAGGAGAATTTCCATGTTGCTTCTAAATCCTTGCATATTTTTAGCATGTCTTTTTTATGTGCTACATTTTAGTTAAACAGTAGCTGAGTATGTAATTTTAACTCTGTAGCTGTAATTTTATCATTGCTTGTGATGTCTTGTCAACTGAGGATGCCCTTTTTTTTTTTTCTAGCCTTATGATTTTTTTTGTCAATTGTGAACATTTGTAATGCTCATTTTAGCTGCAACACAGAGTAGATCAGAGGCGTGAAGGCGGATAGGTTAGGGAGGAAGGAGCTATTGACTAGGTGGGGTGAGAGTAGAAAGAAGAGTCAGGAATGGTATTAAGAAAGATTTAGAACCAGTAATCTGTCAGGTGTGATGCTTAATTAGAAAGTACAGGAAGATAAAGTTAACAACTGTCAGTTTATTGCAGTATATATGCTTATAACTACCTTTCAAATGCTAGGATTCAACCATCAAGCATAAGGTCACAATAACAAATACCTAGTTAGATTTCATGGTAATTAATTTTATTTAAAATGTTTGAGTATTTCATTTTAGCCTAGTCTTAGTGTAGTAATCTTATTCATTTCTGATACATTTAAAATATCGGGGATTTTTTCACAAAATGGTGTTTTCTTCTGTTTCTGGTACTAGCTCCTGAAATTCTTAGTTATGACCCCATCAGCCTGGCAACAGATATGTGGTAAGAATTATTTATGAAAAATTTGATATTTGTTTCAAGAAATGAATCTGCTGCTAATTTTTCTTACATTTTCATTCTGATTTAGGAGCATTGGAGTGTTAACGTATGTCATGCTTACGGGGATATCACCATTCTTAGGCAATAATAAACAAGAAACCTTCTTAAACATCTCACAGATGAATTTAAGTTACTCTGAGGAAGAATTTGATGTTGTGTCTGAATCAGCTGTTGACTTCATCAAGAGACTTTTAGTTCAGAAACCTGAGTAAGTATTAGTTAAATTTTATCTTTGTTAATCTTTGAGTAAATCTGTTTGTGATAAAAGCAGTTCACAAAATGAGGACATGGAAACACAGACATAAAACTATATGAAACCTTTGACTTGTATGAGTTGAAAGAAAATCTGAGCTGCACCTTTGGATATAACAGGTATTTTCTTGGTCTTTCAGAAGGACATTTTAGAGATACTATAATTTAAATTGAATATCGTGGGGAATGGCATTTCAACACAAATGCTGAAACTTCTAATTTTTCTCAGGAATAAAAATGAGATTTTTGGCAATTCTTTGTATTTTCCAAGACCCAATACAAAAGTTGTAATGACTTAGCTTCCAACTTAAAAATTGAAATTTTAATTTGACTTAAGTCTAAAATGTATACTTTATTATACAGAGATAGAGCCACAGCTGAAGAATGTCTAAAACATCCATGGTTGACACAGAGCAGTATTCAAGATCCTTTTTTCAAAGTGAAAATGGCATTAGAAGAAACAGTTGTCCTCCAAGAAGGTGATTCAGTGCCTAAAACTAACTCGGATACCCAGAAAACAGAAACTGAGGAATCAAGTTTAACAGAGGAGTTAATTGTTGTGACTTCATATACTTTAGGACAGTACAGACAATCTGAAAAGGAGAAAATGGAGGAAAAGGCCATTTCCAAACGATTTAAATTTGAGGAACCTTTGCTACAAGAAATTCCGGGAGAGTTTATCTATTGAATCTCCCTTTCAAACTTTCAGGTTTCTACATTAAAAACATTATTTATGAACTTCTGGTCAAATGGTACATGTACTAAAAGTGGATAACTAAGTATTACTTATATAAGCCAAAATAACCTTGTCAAGCTTGTGGATTGATCAAGTCAGATTATAAAGTTGCTAGCCAGGAGGTTTAATAGCTGTAAAGGCTGCTGGTTCATGTTACTGTTTAGAAAGGAGATGTTTGCAATTCCCCCCTCTGTTGGCCGACACCCCTTCCCATCCTTATTTTCCCGAATGAGACACCCCTTCCCATCCTTATTTTCCCGAATGAGAATTTGTGTGCAAATTAAAATTTGAAGTGAAAGCCACACTTTTATTAATCTGTTTTGTATTATTGGTATCTATAGCTATATCTGCATACCTGTTGTGATCTTTATTAAAATTGATGTTTTGGTTTGGATTTTTTGGGGGGGAATAGAATTTTAACCTCCATAGATATCGTCCAAATTTTTGAGATTTAGAGTAATGTCCACTACAGTTTAAGTATATATTATTTTTATATTACTGCTTTATATTGTGTCTAAAACTAACTCAGATACCTAGAAAACAGAAACTGAGGAATCAAGTGTAACAGAGGAGTTCCACTTTATATTGAATTGTTTTGCTTCTGTTATCTCTTGTTTATTCAGTGCTTCTAACATATCAGTGAAAAACCCTGGCTAATTTTTTTGGTTCTTTGGTGTCACTAATAGAGTACTGGTGTTTTCTCATCTTTGAAATTCTTCTTATTTTTCAGTATATATATTTTTAAGATTTATTTATGTGTGCATACAGAATTGGGGTGCAGGCCAGAGGTACAGGGGCAATGAGAGGGTTCACCAGAGACAGAGTAGGAAGCAGAACAGGCAGATTAAGTACACTTCTGAAGGGATTAGCGGCCAAGACAGGAGGGGTCTGCCATGCTGTGTGGGTCACCTCCAGGACAGGGGATTGAACTGGGCGCTGAAGTGGTTGTGGCCAGCCTGCAGTGCTACACTTTAACCCTCTGTGCCACCAGAGAAGACCCCTTAAATTATTCTAATTTTAAAAATTAAGGTTAAGTAATCTCACGATATTAAACCAGTGTCAGCTTCTCAGGTATTTCCCTTATACCTCATTTGTCTTACTCTTTCACATGCCTGCCACTTAATTTTAGTCATTTACAAGTGCCACTGTGACCTAAGCAACATGATGATCGCTTTAATCAGTGAAATGATACTGTTGTATTTGTTAAAAATACTTTGGAGCAGGGCTACTCAGCCTCTGCCTCTGAGTTTACACCAGTAGCCATAAGACTATGCTAAGAAAAGTTATAAAACACCAAAATACTTATAAATCTTTTCTTTGTTCATAAATATTTTGACATTGTATTTTCTGTCATTAGGGAAGGAGCCTTGTCCCAAAGATTTCTAAAACTAATCTCAATAGAATGTAATCTGATTGGAATTGAAGCCGTCAATTGTATTTAGATCCCACAGTGAACAGTAAATGCCTATTTAAAACAAACAAAAAAGTATGTTATATAACTTAAGGCAACTAAATATCCATATGATGCAAAAAAGTCTGAGCCATTACTTATATTTTTACTGGCCAGGGTGTTATGTAGCTGGGATACAGTTTATCTGTCACCTGTGTATTATGCCCATATTCTGCACCCTTGCAAGTACAGTGCACTTTGAAAACTCAGACTTGTCCCTTAGCTATTACATAACTCTGTTCTTAGAATGATTTCTCTAATCATGCTGAGTCAGATCATGACAGCACTTACGTTTTAAAGTGTATACGGTCCACTGTGCTAAACAATCACACACAGTGTGTAATGAAACCCATTTCAACAAAGCCAGGATATATAATCCTCCCAGAGAGGGGCACTGCCAGGGAGAGGCACCAACATATATACTATGTCACTGGATTCAGTTTGCTAGTACTGGAATTCTGTAGTATTCATAAGGAACTCTAGTTTCTTATTTTATAGAAACAACTTGAAAGTAAAGTATTACCTATCAAGAATGCAAAGTGACTACACTGCCGTGTGGCTATACTTAAAAGTATTATAGTAATGTAGTAGGGGGACATATTTTTCTGCCTACAGAGCTTATTTAATAATAAAAGGCACAAATATGTGTGCTACATATTTGTGTCTGAGTGGCATGTTTTTAATATTTTCATCTCTTTCTCAACCCTGGTGGTAAAAAGCCAGTTTTTCTGTACACATTCAGGCAGTACTTTCAACTCAACAGTTCTGCTTAAGTGGCAGAAATACAAGCCTGGACCATACTAAGAAGGCAAGAATCTTGTAGGTGACAACTGGATGTTTTCCTGCCCCTCTCTCTCTTCACCTTCAGCCATCAGGCCTCTTGTCTATATGCCAAACATTCCATGAAGCAGTATAAACATTGTTTTGTATGTAAGACAGGCAACTGGTAAATATATTGGCAAACTGAAAATGTCAAATCAGGCGGCAGAAGTTTGTTGTCTTCAGAAAACCCCGAGAGGTGCTGCATCCCTTATCTTTCTACTGTGCAAAGGATGGAGCCCACTATTTGTCGGTTTCTGACTTTTTCATGTATACTAACATGTCAGCTTCATCTTAGCAGTGCACAGCTTTAAAATCACAGTGAATGGTTAAAATAAGATGATGAATTCAACTTTGGATAAATGGGACAAATGGTAGTAAAATACATGATTTACTTAAAAGTCATTTGGGTCATGTCTGTCCACATTAAGTAGTATCTGAAGTCTTCATTAATTATAGACTTACATACTTCAAAGTCTTTGATGGTTAGAAGCCACATGCAGTGCTAATGCTGGTATTTATTATAGCCAAGTTTTCTCTCCTGGGTTTTCTGTTACTGTATCTTCAGCTTGTCTATAGACTGGCCAAATTGGACATCTTATTTCTGTGGCATAGCTCACATTTTCCCCTGCTGGGACTTCTTTCTCGCCCCCCCCCCCCAAAATGTTCTATTTGCAAGGTATCTATCATGTTTGCTTATCAAAACGTTTTATCATTCAGGCTGCATTGGAATATCATTCTCTCCATTCTTCCTAATCAGTATGTCTCTCCTACATTATTCTCACCTGCCTTGCCCGCTGCTCTCCTCAGCAGTGTAATTCAGTAGAACTCTTTTGGTACAGTATATAGTCTCTCCCTCCATTCTCAGTGTACCAGCTGGAAAGCAACTTTCCAGTGGAGACCATACCACATCTTAACGTAGTCATGGCATGTGGGAGTCAGGGCCATTTGTTGGCTCTGATCTGTCCTCTGTGATCTTTTTAAATGTGTCATTACAATTTAGTGAAGTCCTTTCTCCAGTTTCTGGTCTACTGTCTTTATTATGGGGCACTTGTTCTAATTGCTCCTGGTAAAGTCTCCTTTTCCTCTGATGACCGTGTACATTATCCAAGATGTCTTCAGGGTAATTAATGGGAGTCAGTGACTGAGTCACACTTATTACTTGATATCCAGGAAGTTCTGGGCTGTAAATACACATAACTATTACACTTAAATAGGAAAGACAAAGATCTATTACAATGATCATGTACCAGACTATTCAAATTACCTGTGAAGACACAGTAACACATACAAAGTAAACCTACTGGGAAAAACCGCCCAAGATGGTGGCTTTCAAATAGAAATAAGTTACTTTTCACTACATACTATTTTCTAACACTTGAGTTAGAAAAGCTTTTGAATTCTATACATATGATAGCTGTCATTTGCTTTATATAATGCAGGGCCCTGATTTTCCCTGCATTGGCCACAGCAGGGAAAAAATGAACACTGAATGCCACTAAAAGTTGTCAGGAAAACAGTCAATACATAAACAATACATAAACAGTTATTTACATACTAGAACAGTATAATTGTTAATGAGGCAGCATAAAAGTGTGATGTTCTTCCCTTTAAGATTGTAAAGAGTATAGTAGTTAATAACAAAAAGCAAAGAGGGAAAGGGGGTCCTCCCTGATGGCATAATAAGTCTCAGCTTATCAAGTTATCTGCAGAAACTACAGTGTGAGTTCCTGGCCACGGAGCTGACCTACCTGGTGCAGCAGATGCCTCCTGTTTCGCCTGCTGCTCTCAGCAGTGTAATTCAGTAGGTCTACCTGTTTTGTTCCACTGTCTTGTGAATATTTTCACGCCCCCGCCCCCTACCCCCACACCTCTGCCCTATACCCCAGTTCGTGGATGCATTAATAAAATAAATATTAAAAAGGAAAAGGAAAGGTACCACTCACTGTATAATCTAGTCAAAGAACACACATATTACACCATAGAAATAATGATTGCAGGCTTTGAACTCAGTATACTTAAGGTTAATTTTTCTGAAAGGCTTCTCTCTCCAGTGCATACTAATGAGAATGTAGGACAAAAGTTCACAAATATCCTTTTTTTGTAGATAATCAATACTGAAAGGGTTAAATTATTTTTTATTTTAAAATGAAAGGCTTTTTTAAAAAAAGATTATTTATGCATATAGAACTGGGGTGCAGGCCAGAAGTGCAGGGGCGGTGAGAGGATTCACCAGAGACAGAGTGGGAGCAGAACAGGCAGATCAAGAAAGCACACTGCTGAGGGGAGCGGTGGGTGGGTCAGGTGAGGTCTGCCACACCATGTGGATCACCTTTGGGGCTAGGGATCGAACTCACACTGAAGAGGTTGTGGCTAGCTTGAAGTGCTGTGCTTTAACTCATTGTGCCACCAGGGAGGGCCCTAAAAGAGTCAAATTAACCTCTGAAAAGCAAAGGTACCAGATTTCTGGTGTTTGGTATTCACAGGACGGGAAGGTCATTGACTTCATAAGACTGCTTACAGGACTGATAAGAAGTGTTTCTCTGATTAGTGATTAGATGTTTAGAAAGTGGAAGGATAATGACCCTGTGTTAGTTTTACATGCTTACAAATACATAAATTTTTCCGAAATATTTTTTTTTCTAAAGATTTATTTATTCATACAGAACTGGGGCACAGGCCAGAGATGCGGAGGGTGAGAGGATTCACCAGAGACAGAGTGGGGAGCAGAACAGGCAGATTAATGAAGTACACTGCTGAGGGGAGCAGCGGGCGGGCCAGGAGAGGTCTGCCTCGCCATGTGGATCTCCTCCAGGGCAGGCGGGAATCGAACTCATGCGGAAGTGGCTTAAGTTTCTCAGTGCTGTGCTTTAGCCCGCTGCGCCACCAGGGAGGGCCCTTTCCAAAATATTTTTATTAAAGAAATTACCTTGCAGAGCTTTAACTGCACAAACTGGTGAAGTAAACATATAAGAAAACTAAAAAAAAAAAAAAAAAAGACAAGTGATTGGTGATTGAAGATACAAGCTATTTAACAGGAATTCAGGGTAGAGTGAACAAAAATGTTTATTCCTCCTCAACACTCTCATATTAACAATGCCCTTCATTGCTAGTAAGTCTCCTTGAAAATGGAGATGAAAACTGGGGAGGGATGGGGACAGGAAAATAAGAGCATAAAAACTCAACAAACAATGCAATGCTGATTCCTTTTATTTTGTGTTTTGATTTTACAGAGAACTTTGAATAAAGTTAAAAACAATTTCTCGTTAAATTTGAAGCCTTAAAATAGCTGTAGTCAAATTATAACTATACCAATGTTATCAGAGATCAGCATATACTGTCATCCTCCTCAGTGACCAGAAAACTAGGTTCACAAGCATGAAAGGGTACAGTGGTGTGGGGGAAGGGCATATTTGGAGAAAGTTGGGTCTTTTTGATCATCTCTTCTACTTTTTCACTTCATCAACATTCTCTCCACTAAGTTTGAATACAGGAATCTGCTGGCCATCCTTGAGCTGTAAGACGACCTCCTGAAGGTGCCACCTGATAGAAACCAAAAGTGTGGAACACTGAGGAAAAAGACATGGTCAAAAAAGAAAAAAAACACTTGTTTGTATTAATACCTTGTTATATGCTCTCATTATTGGAACCACCATTACTGTCAAGGCAAGTTTATCAAAAAATGACTGATGGGCAAAAGGAAGGGACATCTGGAAAGAAGACGAACAGCTATTCCCATTTCCAAATTCACTGGAATGCTCAAGTAGTAGCTGGACTACAACCAGCTCCTCCACTAACCCCATGCTCAGGGGTCAGTGAGTCCAGTAATGGAGGACTCAGACTGGAGACAGGGGTGGCCTGAGGATAGCCTGTTTCTTTTTTCCTTGTGAATCAAAACACTAAATAGCACATATCTCTGGAAGGCTTCCTGTGGGGGAAATGAGTGAATATAGCTATTGGCAACCAGCCAAGAAAAACCAGTTGATGGGCTGGAAAGATTATTATATAAAGATGTGATGTATAAGTATAGAACAGGAACTGTATTTTTATTCTTTTGTAAGGGTGGAGGCAGTAAACTTAGAAGCTACAATGTAACATCAAATTATCACAGACCTAGATCTGTATTGGATAAAATGTCCAAATTAAGAGTTAATGACTATCTTGCTGCCAAGGCCATAAAACTCACAAGCTTCAAGCTTTGAAAAACTAATTGTTATGACCACAATCATGTAGCTACAAACAAAAATGGGGATTAGGATTATTCTGTCTGAAGGCTCTCCTGTCTCACCTTACCCATTCATTTATTCATAATACCTCTTAAAGGGGGCATCTCGGGATGATGTGACATAGAGATGGCCCTCTGACTTGGATCCAGAGACAGGAATCTTCAACTGTGGGTGTAAAATGAGAGCTATTAGATATGTTATTGTCCTCTCAGGAGGAGACAAAATGTTTTCAAAAACTAACTGTAAAAATTCAGTGATTAACAAAGATTAGTTGTTTTCTACTCAAACACAGCTTTAGAAATTACCTGATTTCCCATCTGACCCTTTCCAAATGTTCTACCCTTTTTTTGTTTGATTTGGTGAGGTCAGCAGCAGCCCTCATATTTGGCAAAGATAACTCAATGTTCTGTGTATATGCAATGATTATTCAGAAATCCACTATTAAAAAACAACAAACATGTAACAACTGAATATCAAAAATATGCTGGATCAGAGTCATTTCCTAGAGTATTTAATGCATTGTTACATGATCTAGATCAGTCTAAGCTAATCTACTTTTTCAGGAGAAAAGTATACAACCTGTGATTATTTCTGGTGTAACTAAAGAATGTGAGAAGGGACCAATGGGGAGAATCTGAGGGGAAGGGGATACATGGGGTGATAGGAATGGTCTATATCTAAAGAAAGAAAGGCTTGGTTACACAGGTGTACACATTTGTTAAAAGTCACCAAATAGTACATTGTTGATTTGTGCCCTTGAGGGGGGAAAAAAAAATCAGATGCTCCCATGTAAATGTTAGGAAACTGGGTGTAAATTGTTTAATTGCTTTCAGACACTAGGAACATGAAACAGTGGGAAAACCAAACTTTTCTCTGAGACTTCCTTTTACAAGCATAGCAAATCTCAGAGGCTTATTGAATAATACTGAGCTGAGGTTCAAGACCAGTTATTCTAGGGAAGACAGAGGGCGGCTATCCTGAAGTGAGATGTCCATTAACAGAAATACACAATTACAGTTATCTGAAGAACAGGAAGCTGAGAAACACTGAAGAAAAAGGTGATGCACCTGGTGCTGCCCTCAGAGAGTGGGACACCCCACCAGGTGCTCCACCAGGTCTTATTTTCATGACACACCACCAATCCCAAAACTCACAGCCTTCTCTGGCACAGAACCCAAAATATCAACCCAAACCTCCAGAACATGGTCTCATCTGGTCGGCCAATACCGAATTAGATTTAAGGGGACTGGGCTCTACTCCTTGAGGTCCCCACAAATCAACGGTCAACATTACAATTGGGAGCTGACCTAAGACTTTTATGGTTGATACTGGAGCTGAACACTCAGTCACCCCAGTGGCCCCACTACCACCAAAACCATAGCCTTCTTAGCCACAGGAACAAGAGCTCTCTCAAAACCTTTCTGCCAAGTCCAACAGTGTGAGATTGGGGGACACAAGGTGCAACACAAATTCCTATACATCCCAGAATGTCCTATACCCCTGCTGGATCATGACCTACTGACAAAATTAGGGGTCCAAATCACCTTTAAATCCTCAGAGCAGGTGAGCCTCCAGATGGACCAAGGAACCAGCAGTGACAATCTGTCACAATAGTCCTAGTGACCCCCTAAAGGAGGAGTGAGACTGACTGCTGACGCCTTAGCCTCTAGCCCAATTAAAATGCCAGATCTCCAAGCGGCTTTTCCTTTGGTGCAGGCAGAAGATAACCTACCTGAACTATCCAGCAATAATTGTGGATCTGCTTTCTGGAGCCAGACCCAAGAGGCAGTATCAGGACCTTCTCCCCCTGGAGGCCAGGAGAGGTATTCAGGGACACCTCACCTGGTTCAAAGAAGCACAGGTCCTGGCTGAATGCCAGTCTCCATGGAATACCCTGCTTCTGCCTGTGAGAAAGGTGAATGGAGGCTACTGACCTGTTTGGGACTTCTGAGCCATCAACAAAGTTACAGTGTCCTTGCACCCAGTGGTCCCAAACTCTTACACACTTCTTAGACAAATTCCAGGATCAGCTTGCTGGTTTACCTGCCTAGACCTCAAGGATACCTCCTTCCGTCATTGGCTCATCCCCCAAAGCCAACCCCTATTTGCTTTCAAATGGTCAGAAGCAGATATGTGGCACTAAATGCAACTAACTTGGATGCAGCTCCCCCAAGGATTCAAAAACTTCCCAACCCTGCTTGGAGATGCGCTGGCTGCAACCTGACTGGGTTTCCAAGGGAGGAAACACAATGTGCTCTTGCAGTATTCTGATGACCTACTGCTATCTAGTGTCATCCAAGCAGGGTACTTGAGAGGCACCAAAGCCCTACTCAAACTACAAGTCCAGTATCTGGGGTTCCATCTCACCTCAGGAGAAAGGACACTGGGGACTGAAAGAAAGAAAACACTACTAATACCAACATTGAGAAAGACTTTGAGGGGCTTCTTGGAAGTAGCAAGATTCTGCCAGATCTGAATTCCCAGTTTTTCTATCATGGCTAAACCTCTATATAGCTTTCTCACTGGCCCTGAAAACAGTCCTTTCCTGTGGACTCTGGAGGACAAAACAGCCACCCCAACCATTAAACAGGCTCCTGCCCGGCTTCCCAGACACCAGTAAGCCTTTCATTCAGTTTGTCCATGAAAAAGACAAGGTGGCACAGGGAGTATTAACCCAGGATATGAGTCCATGGCAATGCCCCATGGTGTAGATATCAAAAAACCTAGATTTGAGAGCAGCTGGATGGCCTCCCTGCCTGCAAGCACTGGCAGTGGTTGTGCTACTTGTTAAAGAGGCTATTAACCTCACCCTGAGCCAACCTCTCCATGTTAAGACCTCCCACTTGGTACTCTCCTTCCTCAATTCAGGGGTAGCACTTCTTCTCTAACTCATGTTTAACTTAATACCAAAGATTTTTCTGTGAAAACCCCATATCACTCTTGAAATAGACTGAACCCTTAATCCTGCGATCTTCCTCCCAGCCAAAAAAGGTGAGCCAGACCATGACTGCATAGGTCTTGGATGAGGTCTAGTCTAGTTGGCCAGATCTCAGAGACCAGACTCTGCTTAATCCAGACCTCTTTCTCTTTTGTGATGGTAGCAGCTTTATCCAGGATGGTGTTTGTAGGGCTGAGCAGAGTGTCAAGTAAATGTGCTCCCTTCCAGTCGATGGTCAGCTCTAAGGTCAGAGTGTATGCACTGCTGCTGGCCTTAATCTTGGGTCAAGACAAATGTGTCAACATCTATAGACTTCCTCTATGGTGCCATTTATAAGGAGAGGGACCTCCTCTTAGCTGCAGGAAAAACAGTTGAAAATAAAAAAATCTACAGCTGCTACAGGTAAGCTGGTTCCCACTGTGCATTTCTGTCATACACTGCTAAGGCCCTCAATGGGGAGATGACTCTGGAGCACTGGGCAACCACCTTGCAGGTGAAAAAGCCAAACAGGCAGCCCACATGAACCCATGTCCTTCTGATTCCTCTGCTGCTGATCTTGTAACCCCCTCACCACCAGATCCTACATATACTCCTAAGGAATTTGTCTGTGCTGGCACTGAAGGAGACTATCAGACAAAGGGCAGATGGCGGAGGTTGCCTGATGGGTGTCCCTTTTTCCTGGCAGCACTAGGGCTTCACCTTATATCTGAACATATCTCACATTAGTCCTAGTGACCCCCTAGAGGAAGAGTGAGACTGATTGCTGATGCCTTAGCCTCTAGCCCAATTAAACCACCAGATCTCCATGCGGTGTTTCCTTTGGTGTAGGCAGAAGATAACCCAACCAGAACTGGCCCTAAACTGTCCAGCAATAATTGAGGACCTGCTTCTTGGAGCCAGACCCAAGAGATAGTATCAGGACATATGTTCCCAGCTTATTCACCTGGGAAAAACTTCACTGGAAGCCCTCTTCCAAAAGCACTTTTCATCAATAGGCTAGCCGTTATTGCAGATCTGTCAGTGCAAGATGTATCACCTGTACTCAGAACAATGCAAAAATTGCTCTGACCCCTTTACCAGGGGTCCAGTGGAAAGGCTCTGCTCCCTTAGAGAACCTATAACTAGATTTTACTGATGTTCAACTAGGCAGTGGAGCTACTTGTTCAACCATGTACCTGTTGGTAAGGGTCTGCACATATTCAGGGTGGGTAGAGGCATTCCCCACCTAGACTGAAAAGAGCAGAGAATTCACCAAGGCTTTCCTTTGGGTAGTGATCCTGAGGTTTGGACTCCCCTTGTCCATACACAGTGATAATGGGCCAGCCTTTGTGGCAGAGGTGGTACATGCCTTGGCCAGTGCCTTTTAACATTTCCTGTTAAAGTGTTAAGTTTCACAATGCTTAACAACACACAAAGCTCAGGCAGTTGAATGGATGAACCACACCCTTTAAAACACTCTTGCTAAGTGTATACAGAAAATAGACCTATCTTGCCCAACCTCCTTCCTCTAGCTCTTTTACAGGCTCACTGCACCCCTGGGAAACTAGGTTTCACCCCATTTGAGTTAATGTACAGGAAGCCCCCTCCTTGCGCTGGGAGTGTATGAGGGGAAATACACCAAATAGGCAGTAAGGACCTGAATGAACAACTCCAAGCCTTGGGAATGATACTCTATGAACTTCATAAATATTCAGGTGTGAGCGCCCCTATCTCATTCCTTCGAGTCTGAGGACTATGTGTGGCTGTAGGACTGTAAAAGCTAACCTCTAATGCTGGGCCCTTGTACTATTATTTTCACCACCCCGATCGCTCTTAAGGGCTCAGGTTTTACCCCCTTGGCACATCACTCCAGGGTCAAATGGGCCTACAACACAAAAGAAAACGCCTCTGACGAATGGACAGCAGCCCTTGATCAGAACAACCCCTCTCAACCTGAAACTACAGCGGCAGCAACCAGCAAAGGTGATCCAGAACTACAGCCCTGCTCCAGCTACAACAGTGAAGCTGGTTGGTGTATACACGGTGGAAACCTGGGTATCCTCTGTGTGTGTGAACTTTGATTTGCCGTTTTCTCTGGTCTAGTGTCAGTCGTCCCAGCAGCTAGTCTAGCCACCGCAGCCTGATAGTTGGTCTAGAGAACTCAGCATTCCCTTGTAAGCTACCTCATCCTGGCTGGGAACCTAATTACCTGAGTGTATTATAAAAGAGCATTCATTAATGCTCTTTG